ACTTAATAAAAATGTTGAATATCGCTTTATCGATAAAAATAATAAAGAATATTTTTATTACCATTTAGGCTCATCTAAAGCAATGATTGGCCCCAGGTATTGGTGAGCTAGAGCCAATTTAACTTAATCTTATGACTATCATTGAATCGCATAATCATTTTGGCATAAAGAATGCCACCTGTAGTGGTGGTATAGGTATATAAATCCAGCTCCAGTGGAGTTGCGGCAGAACCATCATTACCTATACTACTAAGGGATTCCCATATAACTAGCAGCAGGTTAAGAACACACAGGTTGATCAAGTCATCTATAAATATTGAGAATTATCTTACATATTGTGAAAACAAAGCTTATTTCTCCAAACTTCGTCGAAGTAATCACAAACTAAAACTTGAAACCAACAACACCAACTTCATTTAAAAAAACGTCTCTGTGAAACATGAGATGTCTTAGAAGATGGGCAACATTATGCACTGTCTTGTATAAAATACAAACAAGAAAGGGAATCTCAAATAATTCTCATTTATGATTCTCCTATGTATCAGGAAGCAAAACACAAAACACATAGTCAGTTTGATTAATTCATGGTCAATGTAAATAGTTCAAAAGTATTTCTGTGCTTGAAAATGTCCGAGGTGATATTTCATTATCCCCGACGGATCGGAGCTCATTATACCGAAGAATCACCGTCCGACTTCCTGTATGTGCGAAAGTGACAGCGTGTCTCCACACCGGGAACAATGGCCACCCGGCCCCGTTGTACGTTCTGTCACGTGATTACCATTACTGTACCTTTACTAACCCCTTCTCTTGTATATATAACTACCTCCGTAAATTAGTCACAAGTACAGAGCGTCCTAATACATTTACCTCAATTACAAGACGTCAAAATGGCCGACACAATAAACGTGACGGGAGAAAATTCGGAAGTTGTAAATGAACCTGTGCGGTTACATGTCCTAGTCATTATTGATCAATTGGCCGATCATTGGAAGGTGACTTAAGATGTGTCGACAAGACACTAACTTTAAAGGTAAATTTATATATTGCTGTAGACAGACACTGTCAGGCTGGACATGGATCGAGTCGACGACACTACGATAGTTTGGATGTGCATTTCTTCGTTTTGTTCACTAGGATGGGGGCGTAGCGAGGATATTCGTGAACGATCATGCAGTCAAACTCTCTGACGTTTCTCAATGTATACGAAAACAAGATTAAAAAGTCTAAATGATCAGAAAGAACGCTTCTGTATGTATTCGTGCTGAGGAATTCTCAGGGGTTCCCCCAGGAATGTGGAAGTAGTCCATAAGTGTTTACGTCATTTGACGGTCTCGTGAAAAACGTATGAACGTCAATTTGTGTCGTCATACACTTATGAACGTTAGTTACTCGGTCATGTGACCGACCTCTCGTCCGATGGAAAAGTCGTATATCGTATAAACTTCAAATAACAAAAATATGAGTAATTGAAGACTGCAAATTTAAATTTTGCGAAGGAAAACTATTTACTGTCAAAACCAACATGAACTGCCACTGTACAGATGTTATACAGTGTTCCTTCGCTATTACGCTAGGTTATATTACGCGGTAAAGCATGGCTCCCAAAATGTACTCACATTTTTAATAAACCTTAGTTTTCCAATGACACGATGTCTTCCCCATCTCAAAAAATCTCAGCTAATCATTCAATATTGTTTACATTAAAAACACGAAATCGTGTGTGAAGTGATCGGAAGATCGCACAACTCACTGTAATTTACAGAAACCACGGTCAGATTACCGCTATTGGCGCCTTGAAACGAACTTTAGTTGACACAGAATTGATACATATATACTCACACGCAAAAGAAACGCAAGTCGAGTATGCAGTATACATGTTATTTATTTTCAACAGTAAAGACAAGAAATACTAATAGGGCAAGATTGACAAAAAATTGACTGAAGACAGTTTAATGGATTAAAAGGCAGATGACATAATTGATTTTTTCAAAATATTACTATTAATGTTAAGGGCTTACACAGTTTCGGGTCAATACCCAAAATGTCTGTCAATACCTGGTGTGACCACCATTAGCATTGATTACTGCCACACATCTCCTGTACATTGAGTGGATCAATTCAATTCTTTGTTTCAGTATAAAGGCCATAGGCCCACGTACAAATACTCATTGAAAAATACAGTATGAGGCAGATGACAGAGGGTATTAAGTGACAGTATTTCGGATTGCAAGTGCTTCCAGTATATACTTAACACAATTAGTTACAATACTAGTGCGGTTACAAGATAATAGAGTATTATATTTAAATAAGGTAGGATTGGAAGAGTAATAAATAGCTAGGTAAATACTTATTTCTTAAATATCTGTAACATTGGCAGACAAGCATAAAATGAAACTCATCTTCAATTTCCTGTAAATTACAATATCTGCACTGCCTATTACAGTACTCTATACCGCATCTTCTACCTAAATTTACCATCAATGGCAACTCGCCAATTCTTAACAAACAAAACATACGTCTATAATGACGGCTTGTGATTTCACAGAGATACTTTTCAACTGTTAGCAATGACTTATATTCCTTATACATTGATAATTTACGTATTTCACAAACTTTACAATACCAGTCCTGTTGGTTACAGTCTTTTAACCTTTGAATAAATGCATTAATAAAGAGGGTCTCATTACCAACTTCCTGCGAAATCCACACGTGGCCAAATCCATAACTGAATAATAGTCTTTTGACACAAGTTACCCATGTAGTGCGATTAACTTCATCTAAAGATTTCAGCATTAAATAACATTGCTTAGGGTATCTATAACTGGGTAAAGATAACAATTTTAACCAATATTTAATACATCTCTTGTGATAATCAATAAATAAGCCATATCTACCACATTCGCCAAGGGTAGCAACATTTGTAACATGACTTCCAATTCCAATAGTAAATTTACAGAATTTAATCTGAAATTTTTCAATTGCTCAGTGGATCAGACGATTTGTGAAGGCCCTATGGATCCTCCTGCACACATCCAGAGCAGCTGTGCGTAGTTCATCGGCAGTTGTAGGGACTGGGCGTACATTGTGCAGACGCCTTTGAACTTCATCCCACAAGTGTTCGATGGGGTTCAGATCAGGGCTGAGAGGGCTGGCCACGGTAAAACACAGATGTGTTTTTGCAGAAAGGCCATGGTAGCTCTGGCAACATGGGGACGAGCGTTGTCCTGCTGGGAAATGTGTTGTTGATGTTGTGCAAAAAATGGAACAACGTGGGGTCTGACGCCGTGTCCCCGACCTTGACCAACATTCGGAAAGCACATGGGTCCAGGTCTCGCATTAAGTCCAATCCCTGCCCATATCATGACGCTAGGTCCACCCCATGGATCCCTTTCCACAACGTTTCTGTCAGCGAAACTATCACCTCGACGCCGCCAAATTCTGACTCTTCTGTCTGCATGGGAGACACAAAAGCGACTTTCATCAGAGAAGATGACGTCTGTCGTGCACTTTCACTTGCAGTTAGGAACGGATGTCGCTGGTGTTGACGGGTAATCTGCCGATCTTGTCGAGGTGTGGTGACCCAAGAACGACCACTCCGAGGAAGGTCATCTATGGTCTGTGTAGCATTTTATCGATGCAGGAGACGGTAAATTGTGGTTATGGTAACGTTGAAATGACGGGCAACATCTTGGTCTGACTCTCCAGCTTCCAAACGTCCGATAGCCTGGTTTCTCTGAATTTGAGTTAGGCGTGGCATTGTTGACCAAGGAGTGGTAGGTCCAAGTTTTATACCCACAGTTCGTGACAGTTCGTTTTGAAATGGGTGCATGATACCCACATATTCATCGAAATGGTGCGTTTTGGCGATTCGTTTTTTTATTGCGTTTTTACTCGGGGCTTCCAAAATGCAACCAAAAATATTGATAACACCATCAGGTTTCACTACATGCTAAAACTCGTATCAATGTATGGTTCCGTGTTTGTTACCTATTTGCTTAGAACCACTTGCGTTTCTGTTGCGTGTGAGTATATCATAATTGCTATACTTTGACCCGTTAAAAGTCATATTTGAGGCCGTTTGACTATTAAATGTCAAAATAACGTATTCGCAATCGAAATACATGTAGCGCGGGTAGTCCCTGCGGTGACTGGCAAAATTGTTCCATAAGTAAAAATATCCGGCAATAGCAATCACCTGTACCTATTGCATCAAAATCATTTGAAGTTGTATCATTGGGTACTTTTTAGCTGAATCACCGATGAATGCGTGATGAAACGTGCATAAACGTGTATGTGTGTTGTGTTTTGTTTTAGCCAAGATGGCGGACGTTTCCGAGCGTAAACGTATATCACGAACAACGTATATAACGAACTGATTTCTCCGGTCCCTTGTAGTTCCTTATATCCATGTTCTACTGTATACATTTTAACGTGTGGGATGTGGTGAGCACTTTACGGTAATGCAACTGAATGGTATGCAACTAAAAGGCCAAATCACTGTGCACAGACAGAAAATTCGAGATCCAAATGTTCATTGTATAAATGTAAGCAAACATATTAATGAGTGCGGGAGTGGCCAATTTACTATTTTTCCGTTTTATAAATTGTTTAACAATGATACACATTTACGAATGAAATAAGACATGACATCAAAGTCAGTATGAGATCCCAAAAAAAATATTGACTGTCGCGTTTGACTATGTTTTACGTTTCTCTCTATTGTTACTTACTGTTTCGTGATGAGGCATAATGACGACAGAAATACTGCTATTGTGCGTCGCCTAGGACTACCTTATTATTTCATTACACCTAAAGAACCGTTGAGCGGCGAAAGTTCTTATGTGCTTAGTGGTGTTTTGACAGACACACATATAGGAACCCTGTTTTTCCAAGTGTTCAACAGCTGCCTCTTATTTGGAGCAGGACAGCGTTGTCAATGTCTTATCAATGGTTCGCCCGCGTGTCACTCTTCCCAGGTATTGGCGATTAGTCCTGAGATAGTGCTAGTGAAAGCCCTTTATCAGATCACGATGTGTGAGTTAACTTGGGTCTCGTTGCTCTTGGCTCTGCTCATGCCCCTTGGTGCAAGCCTTATTGTACCTATGTCAAAGCCAAACGGGGATGCAGATTTGATCAGTATCACAAGTCACGTGACTCTGATGGAACAGACGGTGAACAGTCTCGAGGCACGGTTCCAGACAACAAAAACAGAATTAACGACTGTGAAAGCCGACCTGAAAACAACGAGGACAGAATTATCCTCACTCCAACTCCTACACATTGATGCAGTGCGGGATCTCACAGTTACGCAGACACAATTGAATAATGCCTTGGCAGAACTACACACTGTGAAAGATGATCTTAAGAAAGCTGAGTCAGAATTAGCACTGGTAAAATTACAATCTTTAAATCTTTCAGAGTTGACGAACCTGAAGACTGAGCTGAAAACTGTCCGAACTGAGCTCTCAGCTGCAAGATCTGAATCTAACGGGACCTCGTCTGAGCAGAGGTCTATCAAACGTGAACTTGCACGACTAACTTCCAACGTGAAGGCACAACACGCACTGATAAATGAAACCGTTTTGGATGCAATCAGTTCTGACGTTAAGTCAAATTTGGCTGAAATAGTATTATTAAAATCGGAGCTTTCACTGACCCGGGCTGACACGAACAAAACTGCGTGTGAAGTAGAGATTATTCAGGACTACCTGAATTCCTCATCTGTAGCGGTTGGTGATTTGGAAAAAGAACTAACGTCCCTGATAGAAATTATGGACAATGCTACCCTCGAGGCGAACACAACACAGGGCGAAGTCAGTCAGTTGATGAAAGGCCTCCATGACCTGGGACAAAGTGTCGAGGACCACAGTAACACACTGAATAACATTTCCTTTTCCATAGGTGAGTATACATGTACATTATCAGCTAGAACCTGTGTGGATGGCGTATTTGAGGTGGTGGTTTGTATACAATTGCAACTCGTCAAAGGTATTGCGACACCAAGATTTTGTTTATAATGAGAAAGGAGATTGGTAAGGAGAAGCCAGAAAGCGACATAAAAGCAATCAAAAGTGTCAAATGTCATGAATAGTAGGAAAAGATGAGCATTAGCTATGATAAAAAAGCAACCTTATTCACCAGAGAAGGACTGTAATTAGGGATAAATAGAGGACGTGTAAGTATGGTAACTGTCAGGAATGAGATTGACAGTAACTGTTAACGCGTACGTATCTTAGCAACACTGTACCCATGTCACAGTTAAATAATTACTGTAAGTCAATATCTGGTGCAGCCACTCCGTTCACAGATGACATATGTAAGGCGTCTCCTCATCGTCATATCAGACGCCTGATCCTCAACTTAGGGATGTATTGCCATACCTCAAGCAATGCCTGTGTCAATTCTTGGCGATACTGTACTGGAGGGTTCCTGATGTAACCCTTCACCCCAACCTATCACATTGATGCTCGATTGGATTCGAGAAGGCCAAGGCAATGTCTCGATGGCGTTGATCTGGATAAAGTTAACTCAGCTTGTGCTCGGTGGGGTCGGGCATTGTCGTCCATGAAGACAGGACGGGTGGCAAGTGCATGGTTAGGAAAAAGAGGCACAACAACGCCGTTATCTTGGTACCTTTGTCCATTTAATGTCCCCTGAACTGTGACCACATCCAAGGAGCAACATCCCCATAACATGACTGAACCGCCAAAATATGCCACTTTTTCCTTGATTTTGCGCTGATGATAAGATGTTCCTCGTTGGCACCAGAAACGAGTTTGGTGCAATATAAACCGACTCTGGTCAGACTAATGAATCCATGACCTCAAGTGCCAGTGTCAGTGTACTCGAGCCTGACACCAGGGAACATGGTCTGGCAGGTGTTGGGGTGAGATGAGTGGACGTTTTACTAGTCATCGGACCTCACCGGCACCGGTCTTCCGTGGACGTTCTAATCACGGCAAGTCCAGTAAAGGTGTGTTTTCTAACTTGTCGACTGATTACAGGTATGATTAACAAAGTAGCAATATCCCGCCATGACATGCCAGGCTGGGCAGTAAAGGTGGCTACCATTCTACAGTCAGATGATGTGTCAACACACAGTGTAGCATTTGAAAATCTCTACATTGGAAATGAACTCGCGATTACACTTCAAATTTGGTGGTGCTATACATTTGACGATAGGCGATATTCGTTTTGATCACGAATGGGTGTGTTGTGCTTGTGTGGATAATGTACCGTTGTGCTGTATTTGTGTGGATCACAATGGACGTGTGGTACTTGTGTGGATGATGTGCTGGAGGGAGGGCGGTATTTGTGTTGGTCACAAATGGACATGTGGTACTTGTGTGGGATGTACAGATGGGCGATATTCATGTGGATCACAATGGGCGTGTGGTACTTGTGTGGGATGTACAGATGGGCGATATTCATGTGGATCACGAAAGGGCGTGTGGTACTTGTGTGGGATGTACAGATGGGCGATATTCATGTGGATCACGAAAGGGCGTGTGGTACTTGTGTGGGATGTACAGATGGGCGATATTCATGTGGATCACAATGGGCGTGTGGTACTTGTGTGGGATGTACAGATGGGCGATATTCATGTGGATCACAATGGGCGTGTGGTACTTGTGTGGGATGTACAGATGGGCGATATTCATGTGGATCACAATGGGCGTGTGGTACTTGTGTGGGATGTACAGATGGGCGATATTCATGTGGATCACAATGGGCGTGTGGTACTTGTGTGGGATGTACAGATGGGCGATATTCATGTGGATCACACTGGGCGTGTGGTACTTGTGTGGGATGTACAGATGGGCGATATTCATGTGGATCACAATGGGCGTGTGGTACTTGTGTGGGATGTACAGATGGGCGATATTCATGTGGATCACAATGGGTGCGTGACATTGTTGTGACATGTATATTGGTGGATTGTACTTGTTCGTATGGTACATGTATATTGTTTGGTGGTAATCTTGAAGAAGGATTTCTTGCTGATTGTACAGGAAACGTCTGAAGTGAAGGCATTCGGCCTTATTACTGTGTTTTTGTCACATATCTCTAACACTTACCTGTGAATCTGAAATAGGCTACTGCATTTGTTTACTGCATGAGAGATATTTGATCAGGGATGTTGTACAATTGACAATACATTCAATGCATTATTCACTCACACAAATTGTCATCTACTGATCTAGATCGTCTTGAAACAGCTGTTGCATTCCAAGCTAGTCCCAGTGCCTACTACTTTGACGTAAAAGACACCGAGAAACTTATTTTCGACTCGGCCCTCTACAACCTCGGAGATAGTTATGACGGCAAGACCGGGCTCTTCACCGCGCCTGTACATGGGACGTTCATATTCTGGGCTGGTGCCAGCTCCTTTGGGAAGAACACCCGAGTCACAATCAGACTAAATCTGAATCACAACCGCCATGGCTACTTGGCACAGGGAACGGGCATCTCCAATAACAATTCCACGGAAAGTACCGCTTCTGTTATCACAACCGCCCAGTTAAGGAGAGGTGATGTTGTTTGGCTGGAGAAGTACGGTGGCACTGACCGACTCTTTGGCACCCAAGAATCATACTTTGGCGGGGTACTCTTGCACCACTACTAGTACAATCAACACTGACTATCATTTTAGAAATAAAGATGTTACTAGTAGTGTTACATTTGAGAAATCATGGTATTACTATTGTATGTGAAAAATGTGACAGGTTCTGTTAAATCACGCAAATTGATTGATGTATGATTGCTTGTTTGTTGTTAAGCGCCAGCAATGCGGCTTTTAAGTAATCGAGTCTTGACGAGACTGACCTGCGATTTATATCACAAGCAACGTCTCACATCGTCGGGGTACGATGACATTCTGACAACCCCACACATTAATTCGCCTTTTATAACAAGCATACATGTAGGTTGCTGGGCATCGGTGCTGACCTGGAAACCTCACAGGGTACAAACTGCCTGAATCAAAACTGACTCATACCACATTCCAAAACTGACAATCTTTAGACTGTTGTTGTTATAGCAGGCTTTCATATTGTCCTGTGGTAACTTTATATTATCCCTGCAACTGCAGTAACATGCAGAGGTCTAGTTCGGAAATTCTTCAAGTTTGATATTGGTCATTAAGACAATGTTCTTTCAAATGACTAACTCAAATGGACTGAACCCTAACTATTTCAGAACTAAGATACATAACTGCAAACAACAACAAGTGTATGCCTTCACTCCACTCTTCATTTCAAAGCAGTAAATCCTGATAATATTTCGAGAGTCTAATGAATCTCTCCAATGCACCTAGATTTGGTCTGTCTAACTCCCTACTCACGCATGGCTGCTGAAACAGTTAATTAGTTTTCCTACCACCTAACATGCATATCAAGCCTTGGAACTTTGAAATATCGTGACGCAAACTATGAAATGAGCTAAAGTCTTGTCACAAGTTTAGTAAAACACCTAACTAACCAGCCATAGGAGTATCGTGAAAACTCCAAACTAATCACTATACAATATATATGTGGAACCACAATCTCATGAAATACGTTCTATTAATCTTCATCAGGAACGTCTGGAGGTTTCCGTTTCCTCATTAAAACGCCATCATATGAGAAGAAACAAACAAGTACCTGAGCAGACTCAGAGGTCATCCTGCGTTAATATGACCTGCGTCCAAGGGTACAGGATCAGCGTTCTAAATATGAGCAGTATAAAGTACAAAAGTAGTCTCATTTGAAGAAAACGTAGAAGTGAATGATCCATTAAAGTACCAACAAGATAATGATTGGTATCAGCACATGAAGCAAATATTTTAAGAGATAGGCCATGGGCTACTTAGGTCCACCATGCAAATTAGCATTGAAGATATAGGGATTAACTAACAACCTGTTTCCATAATATTCATCGAGGTACCCTAGAATCGCAATTTCGCGATTCTCGTCGAGCTTCATTTTTAGACCCAAGCAAACAAGGTCCTTAGAAGGCTTCCCATATCGTAAATTTCAATGTATTATAATACTGTATAATAAAAATGTATCAACATAAAGCTGAAGGTATTGTGGTTGCAATGATGCCATTTCCATTTGGATGACATAGACAATTTATTAAACTTTTAGTTTATATAACGTAACTTTGTATATTCGCTCTATGCGGATCACTCTAATTTTCCACAATTTCTGTTTTATACAAATGTACAAATGTTCTTTGGAGATATTCACACAAACAATTAAAGGCAAGAATCTTGTGTTATTTAACTTTAGTTTGCCACAACAATGAAGATATGATATGAAGTAATCGTAATCGGAATTCAAACTGCGCATACTTACGTGGTACCCCAAAGTACCACCATTCAGATTGGAAATGTACTTATGATATACATGTAATGCTTATGTATCAGAGCTAGATACATGAAACCCCGCTGATTGGTGGATGCTTATAAACAAAAACAATGGATACTATCATCCATTCTTGTGTTTATTGAATATTTTTAATTTTCAGATTGGCCAGGTCATACACTGCATTCTTTATTTAGGTTTTGTTCTTTGCAGCGCCAACCAAAGCAACAGGCTAAACTTTATTCTTTAACTGTTATCACCAACCATGTTTAATTATGTATAAGATTAAGTCTTGATTGAACCCAGACAAACATAAAACAAGTGGATGAAGAATACATTGACTTATGTGTATGACAGGATAATGCAGATTGATGCACCCTCGTGTTTGGTTCAATGCTAAGACATGGATCAGCCGAAACATTGGTAAGTCCTTACCAACAAACAACTCAACGCCTGAAACTGGGGTAAAGAGGGGCGTTCCTTTGGCACGCCAGAAACCTATGTTTGTGGGTTCCAATCCCGGTTCACCCCGAATATGTTTCTAGGTTTGTCAGCATCATACCCGTGCTCGTGGATTTCACCGAAGTGGTAAACGTCTAAGACCTGCATCACTTCAGGCTTTCTTCCCACATTAAACTGACAAGCCCTAAAGCCGTGATATAACTTGAATTCTGTTCAAAGCTGCGTTCAACTCATCCCTTTCACTCACTCACCCACTCACTCACTGAAACTGGTAGAGTTATCTTGACATCAACTGTCACCAAACCTGTCACAAGAAGTGACTGCAAATTAACAAAATGGAGTCTCGACGTAATTCCACAGATACCCTCCAAATTGAACATCTGAGTTAGCAGAAGAAACATAAAAACGCCCCCTAACAACAAAGACTGGAGTACCCCTGTGTCTCTCAGTACAGTAATGGGTCGCAATGTGAGACTGTGAAGGATGAATGACTTTGCCGGTTAGACCAAGTAAGCATGTTGATCAAAATCCTGGAAGACGTGCAACGATATCAGTATAGTCCATCAGAGATACTTCATTGTTCAAAAGATTTCCTTCTCGCGTCTAAAACCCTGAACCACTCCCTCAATCCATGTTGTTGTGTCTACCCAAATATTGTCCACTTGATTCAGCGGCACAAGAGGAAGTTCTTTAGCTCGGCTGGCCATTTGACAAAACTCTCCATGTTCCTTGTATTCTGAAGGGTGGACATATATCCTAACGAACGTGGTGATGAATACATGATGTCTGCATAGCAGAAGTGTTTCAGGTTAGATCTTCTGACGAAAATCGGGATTCATTTGTCATTCCCTTGGTCTGCTATCAAGAAGTTGCGATTTGTCACAGCAACTGTAGTAGACCAGTCTCCCTTCAGGTGAATGTCGGCCCGTGTCTGGGCAACTTGGGTTCTTACGACGCTCTCTGTCGGTGATGTCCGCATTGTATCAAAGTGTTGGGGGTTGGGGTGTTTCTTTGAAGTTCCTCACTGACTTGAGTGGATTTACGTGTCCACCAGTCGTAGAAGGCACTGCAGTTCGATGTGCAGAGTTGCGTCCCCTGGACACGCCAGAAACCTATGATTGTGGGTTCGAATCCCGGTTCACCAAGATTATGTTTCTCGCCCCATACCCACGCTCGTTGGTTTCACGAAGTGGTAAACGTCTAAGACCTGCATGCCTTCGGGATTTCTTCCAACATCAAGCTGACGCGCCGTGATATAACTAGAAAACTGTTAAACCCAACTCACCCACTAACTTACTGACTGACCTGATCTGTCCTGAGGTCGGCAAGCTCATCTCTACACATGCAGGGTACTAGCGTGGTCTCTGAACGGGCTTGTTGAAATCATCCACATCATGGAGATAAGCGGTGTTTTGATGGCAATGTAGAGTTGGACCATGGTTCACAAGCAAATCATTAATTGTATGCAGTGTCCCCTTACATGTTCTCCGATACACACATCTATATTTCATAGAGTACCATACTTGTAGCAACCATGATTTGCACATTTACCACCATGATACACACATCTACCACCATGATACACACATCTTCCACCTTGATACATCTACCACAATGATATCCACATCTACCACCACGATACAAACATCTACCACCATGATACACACATCTACCACCATGATACACACATCTACTACCATGATACACACATCAACTACCATGATACACACATCTAACTCCAAGATACACACATCTAGCACCATGATACACACATCTACCACCAAGATACACACGTCTACCACAATGATACACGAATGTATAACCACGATACACACATCCCCACCATGATACACACATCTCCCACCATGATACATACATATACTACCATGATATGCACATCTAACACCAAGATACACACATCTAGCACCATGATACACACATCTACCACCAAGATACACACGTCTACCACCATGATACACGAATGTATAACCACGATACACACATTAACCACCATGATACACACATATACTACCATGATATGCACATCTAACATCATGATACACATATCTACCACCATGATAAACACATATACCACAACGATACACACATCTAACACCACGATAAGCACATCTACCACAACGATACACACATCTACCACATCGATACACACATCAACCACCACGATAAACACATCTACCACCACGATACACATATCAACCACCACGATACAAACATCTACCCCCATGATACAAACATCTACCACCATGATACACATATCTACCACCCAGATACAGACATCTACCATCATGATATGCACATCTACCATCAAGAAACACACATCTACCATCATGATATGCACATCTACCATCAAGAAACACACATCTACCATCATGATACACACATATACCACAACGATACACACATCTACCACCAAGATACACACATCTACCGCCATGATACACACATCAACCCCCATGATATTAAAATCTACCAGAATGTTCCAAATATCTAGCCCCACGACAAACACATCTACCACCACGAAACACATATCAACCACCCAGAAACAAACATCTACCACCATGATACACACATCTACCAGCATTATATGAACATCTACCACCACGATACACACATCTACCACCATGATACACACATCTACCAACATGATATGCACATCTACTACCATGATACACACAACTAACACAATGATACACACATCTACCACCATGATACACACATCTACCACCAAGATACACACGTCTACCACCATGATACACGAATGTATAACCACGATACACACATCGACCACCATGATACATACATATACTACCATGATATGCACATCTAACACCAAGATACACACATCTAGCACCATGATACAC